AAATTACAGTATAAAGAGAGAGAGAACATATTTTAGCAGCTGCTTAGAACTGATGTGTTAGGTCATGCTATGTTCTTGGGTTGATGAAGATCCATCTTTCTTTTTTCTATTTTAAAAAAAAACTGATAAACACACCACACTCCATTTCATAGCTTACAAGCAATAGTTGTTCCCGAGCTATCCAAGGAAGGATAAGATTTGAAGTTGATTTCTTATATGATAGCTAAAGTCTTAACTAATTGTGCTAATCCTGCATTTTTATCAAACCTGGTCTAATAACTTGTTGATTTGAAATTCAATTTGGACTGGATTTGTTTTTGAACTAGTTAGGAAACTTACACGATGATTTTAAAAAAATATTATTTCCAAAACATCATCATTTTATTTATAAAAAACTAAGACTCTGATCACCGATTGATCAGCAAATTTACCTGCTCAACGGCCCTAGGACAAGGTATTATAATTATGATGAAGAGAACATTCCCACTCCATGAGACTAGCGCTTGGCATCCAAAATGCTGTCCCCAAATTAGTGTTGCAGCTTCAACATTTTCATGGTCCAATCCATAAATTGCATACAGCACATCTTCAAAAAGGGTATATGATTGTATTAAATTAAAGAAACCAAACAAGATGCCGAAAAAGTAGCCTACAATATACATATGCCTGTAGCATAAAGCAACCTAGAAAGCAACAAGCCACTCCGCATCGGACTCGAGATTAGTTCTTCAAAATTCCACTTCAAGGAAATCAAACTCCCTACCGGTTGCCAATGTACTCTGAGCTCTATATGATAATATTCTACCAGAAATAGCTCCCATTTAATTGTGATAGGACTCTCCTTCAAATCTTATAAACCAGATGATGCTGAAGGGATTCACAGGTAAACTTGTTTAACTTATCTACAGGGGTTCAAGAGATCCACTTTTGAGTCTCTCCATCCTGGCTTGAAGACCAGACAATGCCTTCTCATCCATGGGAAGAACCCCGCTATGTAAAGGATTCTCCATACCCATCGCATCTGGCGCACGAAGAATCTGACTTGGCAGTCCATTATTTAGGTTCTCATTCACAGACATCAAGGGCCTGCTTCCTGAATCGGGATTCCCAGTAGCAGCAGCTAACTGCATGCTCTTCATTCTCTCTCTAATTGCATCTAATGTCCCACTGGTTACTGCAACATCAACACAATGCGTTCCATCAATGAAAACAACCAAAAATATAAAGCTAGTGTTTTTGTGCGTGCGTGTGTGTGTGTGTGTGTGTGAGAGAGAGAGAGAGAGGCTTAGTGAATTTACCTCCACCAATAAGCTTCTCATTTCTTTGGTCACCCAAAGAATTCTCTGAGACGAGACCTCTAGATAAAAAGGCACTAACTGCTCTGTTGTCTTCAGCATACGAGGAAGGAAGATGAAAGTTTGTTGTTTCGGGTTTAACATGCAATGGTTTAGCATCATTTAAGGAGTTTGTATGCACAGGGGAAAGGGGTTGCAAATCAGGGGAAGAAACATTTAAGGCGGATGGCGGGGGGGTTGAAATTGGCAAACTAGAAGGTGTCCTTCCAGCAGCAGTATTCTTCTCCATCTGCAATAAAAGCAATGTTTGTTGGCAACTTGATCTATGACACTTCCACACACAATGACATGATTGAGGAATTGCATACCTGAGCTAGACCATCTCTGATGTAAGTGCGAAATGCCTCACTAGCATTTTGGAGTTGAGCAAATATATCAACCTATGATTTGGAAAAAAGAGGAGGAAAAACTGAAATGAATAAGCAGCTCATGGACCCAATGCCAGAGCACTAACCATAGCAAGCCCCTAATTATCTATAGGAAAAAGAAAAAAACAGTACAATCACTCTACCGATAGACACAAAAACATCAATTACTGACCTTAGGATATAACTGGGTGATGCGATAGAGCTCATATAGACCAATGGTGCAGGTTTGTTTGTCACCAATTTTCTTGAAAATGGCAGCAAGTTCTTGCTGCAGTCATGGTAAAATCAAATAGGTATTATAGAGAAGCAAAGAGAGGTAAAGAGAGTGGATGAAAGCAAACAAAACTAGTTTGATTTATTAAGTGCAGACAGCCAAATTGTTTGAGATGAAACTGGGAAGTTGATACCTTCAACTGAGCCTCAGCAGAATGCGTGGCAGGTGATGAATTGTTGGCTGCAGAATCACCCCAATGATTTTGGCCCACAGGAGCTGTCGAGGTCAACATTCTTGCTGCAGCTAAAGTCTAAAAAAAAAAAAGAAGCAGGATGAGTAAATACACAACAAAGTTGAATAAATGCAGGATTGCACATTTCTTAACTTTGTACCTCAAGATTAAGATCAATGTAGGCAAGAATAATTGGCTGGGGTTTCATGTCGATAGGAACCATAGATAGGTGACCCTTTATTGCAGCTCCACGAAGCTTAACAAGTTCATGGAGAACAGTTTTCACCATACGCAAAGGCTTGTCATCTGCTCCAGCTCTGTTTATAAGTTGAGAAAACACGTAGAAAGAGGGAAGTCAGATCAATTAAGAGACCAAAAGGAAAGGTAAATATAGATGCTCTGGAGAAATCAAATGACACAATCTAACAAGAACCAAGCATTATCATGGAAAGGGGGGATCAATAAAACACACCTTCTCCTGATTTCTTCCATACCCAATTCTTGTAGGTAAATATGGATGCTCTGAAGGATGCGGTCAAGATCAACATCATATATAGTAGTTTGAAGAACCTGAGTAACAAAAATCAATCTATGACATATCCAACAATAATAAACAATGGTTAACAAGCTAAACAGTCGAAAACACAATCATGCTTTTACTAGTGAAGTTACAGATGCTAACAATAGTGTTCGGAAAATTGCAACTGGAAGAGGTTAAGGGTAGATATCACCCTTGCCAACTCCATGGATGGTAAATAACATTCCAAAATAGGGTGCTACACTGTTTCAGTCTACCATAAATAAAAATTATGGGCTAAAAACATCAATCAACTCCATAAGGGGACATATGAAGGTTCTTAATGGCACCAAACAAATCAATTCACCCCTTCGTTCCAATTACTTAATTTAACTCTTTCCTTGCAAATTTCTCCAGTTTTGGACAACATGACCGAAGTGATAACATGTTAAGACTCAATGGCCGCCATTTTGGTATCAAATTTATTTCACAAATCTCTTTTTAACATGTTAATGGTGTTCACACTTAGCCAACTGGGTCTACCCACTACCTCCCAAACTACTCGCACATACCAGGAGCATGACTAGATTTGGGAAAAGGAAAGAAAAAACAAGAGTGGGAAGGGGAAATTGCTGATTTAAAAACAACTGAACTAATATTTGTAGCTGGAAAATATTCCATTCATTCTTTCCCTCTCTCTCTTACAAAGTTTGTTCCCTTTTGGCAATTACACTTTTGGCTCAAATTTCAACAATTAAGCACCTCAAAAGTTGCAGTAGAAAAACAAAAGAAGCAAGAATATGGTATTACTTTTCAACCATTCGCCGCCAGAATTAATTCCAATTGAAAGGTAAACTGTTCACAACTTTTCTCAGCATCCAAAAGAAAGTCTGAAAAACCAAACTTAAATCAGCTGATTTTAGCTCCCGTGTAATTTATAATGGAGCTTCCACAAGGCCAAACCAGAAACAACTTTTCAGATAAGTTTTTCAGAAACCACATGCAGGATGTGCGAGAGTTGGATTCACCCCATGTCTAACTTCCATTGCCATGTGAGCAAATGTTTTCAAAATAAATTCCATCAAAAACGATTGTGGCTGGATCTAACAGAAGCAATGAAGAGCTACAAGAACCCCAGAATGTCCTTGAAATGTGAGCAGTTTCCAAATGATGACAAGCTAGGTCAGCACTATTATAGTTCCGGTAGCAAAGTCGCACTCATCCAATCTAATAACTTAATGTTCGAGACTGCCTATAAATCATTTTGACCAAACAGACAGTGCATTACTAGACCTTTTCAAATGCACTCATAATTTTGAAAATCTACTTAATAAATAAAATTCGGGTTCTAAATGAAGTCAGCAGGAAGATGGCATCAAGCACTGAAATATCAAATATATTACCTTTGTGAGTTTGATAAGGCATTTTACAACAAGGTCAGAAAACTTCTGATTCCTGATAGCAAAGGTCTCAGCTGATGCAGGTGAAGGCCACCTTGTCGGATCCAGTGGTCGCAACAGATTAATCAGCACAACAAAGGATGAAGTTCGATCTGCATTATCCTGTACATATGATGGTAAGTTAACAAAAATTGACTTCTTCAAGCCAAAAAGTAGGCACATCATTGGGTAAATGTTCACCAGAATCTTAAGCATCAGCACATTCAATGCCTTTAGGAGCTGGCTGCCATCATCCATATGTGGGACCCTTTCATCCAAAAGCCAAAGTAGAAGCTCCGTTATCAGACTGTCAAGAGTACTCTCTTTGACAGCATAAGCAAGAATTTTATTTTGAAAAGTCTGCAGAAAAGTACAGATAGTTAAAATGTTATCAAGAAATAGATCTCAATCATGGATGGGGTTGTGGAGGAAAAGGATCATTTGAGGCAGCATGGCTCTCCCTTTCTTCCACCATCCAGACCACCATACACTCAGAAATAAAGAGTACATGTATTGTAGAGGGATGTTCCGGGCAAAAATTACCTGCATGAGTGTATTAAGTACATATTTACAAGCCCGTGATGAGGCTCCAGTCAAACTGAAGTCAAAAGTCCTCGATACCTGATCAATATAGAAAACAAGGAAACAAGTGAGCTTTGGCCGACCAAGCTGGTATTAAAACAAGCTAGTTCACATCTAATTTTGAGGAAAAAGATATCAGACAGCTTTCATGAAACAATAGTCACCTTGTTTGCCAAGCATGAAACCAGTTTGTCTGCATCTTTCACAAGTTCATCCACAGCACTGCCTTCTGCATCGTTTGTGGCCTGTGCCAACTCATGGCAAACAACTTTCATACCTTCAACGGACTGCAAGTAGAAAATACTTATTATATAGTTCAGGACCTCATCTAACAATAGAACAATCATGCAAAACAATTGCACATTGGAAAAAATAATAAAGAAACTATGTTATGAATACAATTAAAACATAACATTTTAATTCCCATGGCAGAGTGTCATCACATACTAAACCAAATAACATCTGGAAAGAATATATAATTAATTTTAGACATATTAAAGAATACATCAGCTAGCCGTAAACAATCACCTAATTACAAGGCAAGTGGAGAACACGCATGAGTTGGAGATGGACATGCATAAGACAGTTGAACAGATTATTCAACATGACAGTACTCTTAACCTAGAAAAAAGAAACTTAAATAGCAACAACTTTGCAAAACCAAATATGACCAATATATGGAAGTGAGTGTTCAGGCAGAACCAGTTATCTAAGAAGCATATGCAACCACGCAAATTCAAGCCATTAAAAAAAAACACACAAAGAGCTGGCTATAAGATAAAATTATGCAACACATGCAAACAAAAGAACTCAAGAAACAAAGGATAAAACAGTGAATTATAGATTCACAATTGAACATAATCTGTGTGGATCTTGTTGTATTAAGTACTGAATCCTGAGATTCATATATCTAGGCTAATTGTTCTTTCCTGCCAAATTTGGTTTTCTAGCAAGACAACCTTGGCCGCACATTCCCCACAAAAATCACATATACTCCAAGGCAATGCTTGCAACTTGAAACAATGCACTCTAGTGACTAGAAAGGATCGAAATGAAATCAATGAAATCAGCAGAAAACCTGCTCCGGGGAACCAAAAGAAATGATGTCCAGAGCTTCATTCCAGTCTGCAGGGCCATTGGCACTCACGAGTGCACGGGGCATCATATGTCCTTCCATATGAAGCTCCTGAGTCCCATAGTTTTTCCTGCAAATGACAATTGACACTTAAGGAGAGAACTTAAAAATTCAAAATGCCATTAATGAAAAAAAGTACAATGATGATACCTGGCTATAATAGGACCAGAGACTGATTGTGAAAGTTCCCCACTCTGTTCTGCTATATCAGACCTGAGTACAAATAAGGAATTTAAGGTCAGAAGATATAACCAAAGTCAAAATATAAGCAAGTCAGCAGCTTCTGAGCCAAGAGTCATAATTTTCAACTTCCGATTTACATTCACTTGGCATGGAAAACTGGGTAGATGTTATATCAATACCAGTAGAAGAAAGAAGTTCAATAAAAGAATGGTCAAATAAACAATTTTTTCACAGTAATAATCTTAAATAGGTCACATTCATAAATCATAATACTAACAAAATAGAACTCCAATAGAAATGCAATGCAAGTATCATAAGATACACACCCATTTTCCCTAACAGAGCGCCTTAAAGCAGCTCTAGCATCACCAGGGCGACCTTCCTTCCTTTTTTCCATCTCTCGTACCTACAAAAAAAATCATGATGAGTGCACTGAAAGTGGAAAAAGGATCAAAGCACCAATATACACTCACCTTCCACTTAAATCTATCATCTATCATGCTTTTCTGAGCGTCTGTCAGCTTCCCAAGAAATCTCCAAATGTCCTCACCTGTTGAAGTAAGAGAGCAACAATTAATACATGAACTGAGAAAGTAAGAATGATATTACTGTTACTTGAGTACATAGTATGCATCTGTGCCAAGCCAATGGAGATTCCTAACACTAAACTTTCAATATTAGCAATCCTACTGCAACAATGATGTGACTGGTTATTTCATGGTATCAGCACATACCAAGAATCTTGTAACCTGTAGCCAGTGTATTTAATGCAGCTTTTCTAGTTTCACCATCACGCTCTGCTGTCAAGCTTGCAACAATTTGCAAGGATTTTAACTGTCCACTTATCTATAGGGCAACAAAATACAGGGATAGGTGTGAGCAAAAAAAAAAGTGAATGACAATGACAGCATAAAATATCTAATTATACCTCAGCCCCATGATGATCAATCAAGAACCCAACTAGATCTGCACACTCAATTCGAGTACGGTTGTTTTTAGAGCGCAAACCCTCCAGAATGTAAGGGAATGATTTTGCTGCTGAATATGCTTGCACAATTTGTTTGGTAAGCTCACGCATTTTTTCTCGCACTTTCTCAATGTTATGCCCCAACTGCATTTCAAATATAGTATGTTAAAACTATTAAAAGTACTTTCCCATCAGTGAACAGAATCGTGGCATCCAAGAAAAAAATAATGAATATTTTCCCAGATGCACAAAAATTCATGCTACTGAAGTCTTAGTAGAACCTTTTCAATCAAGCATGGAAGAAATATAGCTGCTTCAGATTCACTCAATGTGTAGGCCTCATCCCGGAGCCGGTCAAAAAGATCAGGGAGAAAATCCAGCACCTGTCCATTTCAGGTCAAACTTCATGTGATCGCTTCTCATGAAGCATCATACTCAAAACATGAAGTGTGACACTACAATGACAAAAGGGGGGAAAAAAAAAGCTATACCTTCAATAGGCAAGTTGTGTTAGATTTACAAAACTGCAAAACAAACCACCTCAAAAGAATGTCCAAAACTTCAATTATTTCCTTTCCAATGGATGGAAGGGCCTGGAAAAAAAAAAAAAAACATACAAGTTTCAATTTGATAACACTATGCCGTGCTCAAGAGTAATCTCCAATAGTCAAGAAAATAGCCAAAAACCTTATGTAAGATCTCTAGCCCATCAACTTGTTTCTTAAAATCCGGACTTAGAAGTCGCCTGTTCAAATCCTCTCTGAAGTACTTCATCATGTCACTCTACAATTTGGGAATATGGCAAGAGAAATCTCAAAACGCTGGATAAGAAATCCAATATAGTTTAAAAGCAGCACTGTATAAAACCAGACCTCAAGATCTTGAACCTGTTCCATCCGTGGCTCTTCAAACTTAAACCTCCGTACTACCATTCTCTCCCTATCCTCCTGTGAATAGGCAAGTGCAATTGGAAAATGTTTAATCAATGCTATTTACATCAAATGAAAAATTCAATGTGTCATATCAACTACCTTGTTTGAGTCCTTGACATTCAATAATGCTTGTGACTGAACAGCTCTGTCTTGAAAAGACATAGTTGGCTCTGGCTTTGACCCTTTCATTGGTATGACTCTCTTATAAAGCCAAGACCATAAATAATCAATCTCCACATTGAATTTCAAAAAAATATAAATGAAATAGGAGAAACATACCGCAGATATCGATCTATTTGCATGTTTTGAGATGCCATTGGAAGCAGCTTTTCCAACCTTTACACTTGTTTTGGATGATGGCCCCATTGAAGTTGTTTTTGTAGATTCAAATGATTCTGATAAGCCATGACAAATTTCAATATGCAATCTCAAAACATAAGGCATGTGCATGCATGCAGAGACACAAAAGAAGTCATGTAAGTTACCGAAGGACAGACCTTGAAAACCACCTGCAGGTCTCACTCGTTCAAGAACAAGAGCCAACGCTGGCCCTTGAATATCTTTCAGATTCTTCTCAATCTAAGAACGAGGGTACACATATTAGGAAGTTCAGTGATCAATCAATACAGGTGAATGAGAAAAAAACACCAGAATAATAATAAAGCACTCACCATTTCTTGTCCACACACTCTCAAAATCTCAGAGATGCATGCTTCAGCTGCTTTTCGAACATCTGATGATTTATCCTAGCAAAAATCCCAGAAGAAATGTCAAGAATGCAGAAGGTGAGTCATGAAATATCTTTTTTCAAGAAAACTAAACTAGAACCTACCGTCATAGCAGAGCAGGCTGGTTTCAGCAAATGTATGGCATCAGAAAACTCACTTGATCCAGAAAGTTGCTTTGACAGCCAATCAAAAAGATCCTTGCGGCCTTCAGCACCAAGCTTAGTTTCTATCAGAGCTGCTGTGATGTAAGGAACCTAGAAACAAAGAAATGTCATTATACCAAACAACAAGAAACCAAAATACCCCAAAATTAAAATAAGACATGTTATCAGTAAATGCATGAAAAATTACCATTTTATCAAGATGAACAGCAGCAACCCAAGAATCTAAAGTATTCAGCGTGCATTCCCTCATATGTTTCTTATTATCCCCAAGACATTTCAAAATATCCGACAGAACACCCTGCAAAACCCAGCCAACAGTAAACTTGAGCTTTTTTCAGGACAACAAATGTAAATGTAAAGAAACACGCTCATCTAGAGCAGACCAACCTTGCTTGACTTTTCAACAGCCGGTCCCATAGCAGAAGCAACACCACCAATGGTAGTCAAAGCTGTCATGATTAAATTTTTATTGCTGTCATATAGACGCCCTCTAAGGGCACCAAATAATTCACCTGGCAACCAAATAAGATATTAATGATCAACACATTGCTAGTTGTAACAGAAAGGTTATTAGGACACTATGCATGTCTTAATACAGCTTTCTAACTATTCAAGTCCATTTTAAATTGAATGCATACCAGTTCCAGTTGGTTGAATGCGTTTATTAGCCTCCTCTAAAATTTTATTGACAGCTTCAATTGACTCCAGTCGAACCTGCAACATGGATTTAAGAGTCAAGATGATAACAATACCTGAGGGTTTCGCGAAGGTTATCATAACATTAAGTGAGTTTGCTTCATCAATATTGACAGCATACCTTCCAATCAGGACTTTCCAAACTCTTGATCAGAGTAGGTGTTATCTTTCCACTAATGTCTTCACGTGGCAGACTATCCAGCCCGCCACCAGAAACAGAAGAGGTGGATTCTGATGTCCTGACTGTTTTCTTAGGAGCGGCGGAAGTACCCTGGAGACGTGTAAAAGGATCAAGTAAACCATATAAAACAAACATTTTGAGAAAGGAATTTGATCTTCAGCTTCCCATTACCTCAAATGGATTTTTATCATACTCAGCATCAAGTGCACTCAGCAGTGCAGGTTTGACATCAGCAAGAAACCCTTTAATATCTGCAAACAGAAAGAGAGAGAGAGAGAGAGAGAGAGAGAGAGAAGAAAATACATATCAAGGATTCATGGCATGTGGAAAATTAATAATGATAAGATAATCACACACCTGGACCAACAAACTTATGTAAAGCACCCAAAAGTTTGATAGTTGCATTTCTGCTTGCGGCTACGCTTGACTGTAGCCCAGTATCTTTACAGAAATCAATTAAATCCTGCAAGATATGTCGCATTTCTCCTTAAAAACTGCAACTAAAGGATAAGAAAAGGAATAGAAAGATAATCTTCAGCATGTCGAGGAAGAGTTATTGGGAGGAAGAGACAGAAGAACCTTAAGCTTCAAATGTGACACACCAAAGTCATCAATTGCCAAAACCATCCAGAGTATTCCCTCACTAAGAACCTTTGGATTCTTGTGCTCTTTCATAATTTTGTAAAGCTGAAAAGGATGAAATTCCACAGATTATTCAGCAACAAATAAGAAAATGGTGATAGTGCTCTCTAAATCTGGTTCAGTCTTT